TGGTCGTAACCCGAAATGTTCGTTAGTAGAGGCGTTCGTATCCCGAGGTACCACTGTACCTACACCATAATCACAACAAGGATATCATACCAATCGATTACATATGCAGTGGCCAAAAACGTTTTAGACAGGAGATTTTAACACCAGTGGTGGGCAAAAAAGGAACAAGAGCCAGTTTAGGATTTAATGTAGTGACTCAGATGAGTTTAAAGTAGAATCAGAGAATGTAAGGAAAAGAAAGCATTAAAGTGCTGTGACTTCAGAATGTATACTTCTCAAACTCAGTACTGTACTGTTTATGCTATTTTTGTACAGAGTGGGAATTTTTACTTATTACTTAAATGATTACATTTATTCCCTGCCTTTTTGCTTATATTACAGTAGTTCCCCTGCATTTTTAATATCTTTATTTTTTGTAACAAAACAATATTTAATCTTAAAAAAAAGAATTTTTTTAAAAAATTAAAAGTGCAAACTAAAAATATAAACTAAGAAGGAAAACAATATATTTTATATCTTTATATTTTATACTTATCAACAGTCACTGATTTACCAATGAATTTACTACTATAATATGAACAATACAAGATACTATTGTAAGATATCACAGAATGTATTGTCGAAGGCTTTCACAGCCAGAATACAATGGCTGGTGTGGGTCTTCTGGGCTGTGTGGCCGTGTTCTGGAAGTTTTGTTTCCTAAAGTTTCGCCAGCATCTGTGACCGGCATCTTCAGAGGGCAGGAGCACAGACAGGGCCAGTTCTCTCTGTGCCCAGGATGATGTGACCCTTTTGTGGGTATTTATAGAGAACAGCGAGGGTGCCTGAAGGGGTGGGGGGGTTAACAAGTGGCTGCTTGTTTTGGTGTCAGAATATGTGTGTATCTTCCTTGGGGTTAGGCAGGGTTTTTTCCTTCTATTGAGTTGTTAATGAGTGGCTGGGCGGGGGGGGTTTAGGGAGAATCGCAAACACACTCCCCCCCCCACCCCCAAACAAATACCCAAAAAAAGGAAAAAAACACCCCC